TATAGTATAAATATATATATATATATATATATATATATATATATATATATATACATACCTATCGCATTTTGTGCACTTATACGGACGTTCTCCCGTATGACGACGATGATGCTGCTTCAAATGACTAATTTTTCTGAATGCTGCCTGACAAATCCAACACTTGTGAGGTCTGGATTGATCGATAGTTCCGTCATGTTTTTCTTTTGAAGATATTTGCGCTACACAAATTTTGTTTCCCACGTCATTAATTAGCAACGGTTCTTGTAAAATTACTTGAGGTACTAGAGTTTCTGCTTCTTGTGATAATTTTGATTTATTTTTTATTTGAGTTTTCGATTGATTAGTAGAATGAATATCAGTATCAATTGTAATATGCATATTGGAATCCTTGTTATTATCAGATTTTACGTGTAATCTATTATAAGATGTGAGTATTTGAAATTCATCAATTCTATTATAACAAAAAAAAAAAAAAAAAAAAAAGAAAATGTTTGTAAAGTTTTTACTCACCTAGTATGGGCAATTAAACTACCATGAGAGACGAATGTTTTGTCGCAAGAATTACAAACGTATCTTTTGACACTTGAATGTGTGCGTTCGTGTGCTATCATAGTAGATTTCAAAGCGAACGAACGATAACAATAGGTACACTAAAGATACAATCGAATATAGTATAATATTATATTATAATATAATATTTCATATAGAAATATATTTAAGATATGATTTTTTTTATAATAAAAAATATATTAATTATCATTATTATTTCATAATAAAAAATATATTAATTATATATACCTTAAAAGGTTTTTCTTGTGTATGTACACGCAAATGACGAATCAGATCTGATGGTTTCTTGAATTCTTTGTGACAAAAAGTACACGCGTACCATCTTACATTTCCTACGCATCGTTGTTTTATCGTCAAATATTTTCTAGAAGAATGATTTGGAAGAAAAAAAAAAAAAGGAAAGAAATGATATCAACTATTTGCAATCAATAAACTTATTTTTGTACAAATATAAAAATATATTAGATATATAATGGTTTACCTCGTATCACCGTCAGGTGCTCGATCCAATAATGTAACAAAATTAACACGAGCTCCAAATTTTTTTGCTTCCGATACACCTTTGACAAACAAAATTTATAAATAGCGAAAAATAATTTTATCATTATTTTGCAATTTTTTTATTATTAAAAGTAATACATACCTTCAGAAATAATTTTATTTTTACTGGATAGACCACTGTTTTTTAATGCTTGTTGCAGTATATCTTTCTTCGACACATTTTCTGATAATAAACAAGATTGGAAATTTGATGATTCCGTAGTTTGATGCGCGTCAGATTCCAAAGATGCCAATTGTGTGATAACGTTATCCACGGTCGCACGTATATCGGACTCCATAGTATCGGTCGGGAAAGTATCATCGTTAACAGCAACATCGTTCACATTTCCCTAAAAATTTCATATACTTTATAATATATTTTAATAATATGAAATAAAAAGATATAATACGAAGTGCCAGGTAACTTATATATAATAATATTTACCTCATTTATATCGGTGTGCATACGTTTCATATGACTATTTAAACTACCGACCTTTTTAAATACACATGAACAATAATTACACTTATATATAGGTTCTCCTTCTGGGATATTATGAACTCTCATTATATGGGCGTTTAAATTACCTATAAATAGATACATATGTTGATGTATAAATAATTATAAAAAAGAGATCAAAGAATACGCATAGTTTTACAATATTAGTGCAATATAATGCAAATAATAAATACTATAAATAATTTTTGTGAAAAAATTTACCTTTTTGACTAAATTTGGCATTACAAAATTCACAAGCATGAGGTCGAATACCATTATGTTGCCATGTATGAATTTGCAATGAACTTTTTTGCGTGAATGCACGACCACACACTGTACACTTTGAAATCGAGCAAAAATTAAATCATTTATGTACTAAAAAATATAATTAAATTAAAATTATTTTAATTACCTTAAAGGGTTTCTCACCAGTGTGCACTCTAATATGCCGCATTAATTGACTTGGTTTTTGAAAAGATTTCAAACATATGGTACACTTATACATCGTTTTGTGCTTTGTTCCTTTTTTCGTTTGTTTCACTACTTTTGTCTGCAACTAAAGAAGGAATCGAAACATAAATTATGCAAACATCGTTACGATAATCATAATTACACGAAGATGTATCTTATCACCGATAATATCTTACCCTATAATGTTCACGAATATGAAGCCTATACAAAGCTGGTTGACTGAATTGTTTATTACATAATTTACATTTTCGTATTTCCTCCGTTGCCCATTTTTCCCCATGAAGTTTTAAATGTGCATCCAATTGAGTCTACAATAGTTAAGATTAATTATATTACATTTATCATATGCATCATTGATATTTTTATTATATCAATAAATATTTTAATTTTTATGATTCAAAAAAATCATAATTTGTACATGTTATTTATATTTTGTTTTTACCGAATTAAAATATATATAAAAATATATATCGTGAATAAATTAATTAATAATAATAAAGTCACTATTATTAATTAATACTGACTTTCGTCGAGAAAGCATCTTCACATTCTGTACAGAATAAATTTTCTTCTTTTTCATGTAACAACATATGAGATTTCAAACTGGCCATTCTTGCAAATTTTTTCCCGCATTCTGGACATTTTGGTTCACCTGTATTATGCGTTGCCATGTGTAAAGTAAAATTTGACTGCAACAACAGTATAAAACAAAAAATAAAATTTATATTACGTTATATTCTCGTTATATATCTCGTTAAATAATTTTTCAGCATGAAAAACGTTCCATAAAACATTAAACAATAAATAAAATTACCGGTACATTGAATGATGCAGAACATTTTGGACATCGATGTGGTTTCTCTTCTGCATGATTTTCCATATGTTTTCGATACAATGTTTGTTTAACAAATTTTTGATGACAAATTTCGCATGTTAAACTTTCCGAATTCTGTGATAAAAAAAAGAAATTATAATATTTGAAATAAAATAAGCTTATAAAAAACAGCTTATAAAAAGACATATATTTATGTGATGGAAAAATTGCTATACATGATTTTTAATCACATAAAGAAAAACAAAACATAAATAATTTAAATATTGGATTAATTACTTCTAAATTTATTTTGTTTTTCTTAGGCCTTCCAAGATTGTGCTTTTTTACAGTTACATTCGCTGTATTTTGTTTACAAATCTTTTCCTCTTTTTTATCAGCTAACGAATCATCCATAGAAGACTGATATTCCTGAGAAATTACTTTTTTGTCTTTTGCTTCTTTGTATAATTGTAATTTTACTTTATCAATATTATCAGAATTGCCCTCAAAATTTTGCGATACCTGCTGAAATTCTGAGTCATTGACAATATTTTCAACATTTATTTGAAAAACAGGCTGAAATGGTATATGATTCAAAAATAAAAATTTCATCTATAAAAAGAATAACAAAATGTAAAACAAGAATATACCGAATGTAATATTAAATTCCCATTTAGATTTTTTACATCGACCAATGACGACGTCGTTTCATTTTGTCCAACAAGCATAACTGGAGTTGCAACAATTTCCAACATACCATCTTTATGTTCTGTAAAGGTTTACAATGAATGGTAATACAATAAAGTTATAAACATAATTGCATTATTTCACTGTTCACACTTACCAGTTACTGCCAAAAGCGTTCTACCATCTTCAGTAGCAACAAGATTTATAGGTATTGTTTCCACATGTGGAGTTTCTGTAACTACATTGTGTCGTGTTAACATTTTTTGTATCATCTAAAATGAGATATGATTCACAAAGAAAATAATTCTTTGCATATAATTGCACAACAACGAAAAAAACGACAATAATATTCAAAAGCACTAAGCACATTTACAAAGATCTCTCATCATGTTATATATTTTGTAAAAGTTTTGACATAATTCAAATATTTGAATTTCTTTTCAAAAAAGCATAATTCAGTTTGTTGCCAAAAATGAACTTAACCTATACTTTTATGACGTAAGAGGTTAATTTCAGCGATAGGTGTCATTAACATTCACCAACGTCAATAAAGAAACGTGAAAGAGTGTGAAAGAAAGAAGGAGTGTGTTAAAAAGAAAGAAAAAAGAAAATGACGATAGGTATATGTTAAATATAAAAACAATTTTTTAAACGTAGAGATTAAGAAAATGGAAGAAGGAAAGATGAGAAAAATCAAAATCAAAATAGATAATGAAAGTATATATATATATATAAATTAAAATATTTTTAATCTGTGATATTTCACTAGTGATTAACTACCGACTAATTCAGATATAATATATTTAACACAATTAATATAGAAAGAATAGAATATATAAAGCGTAAAGCTAAATGAATCAAATATTATTTATGTGGTGTTTCAATATTTTATTTAAACACGTATTAAGGAAAATAAAAATAAATATACATGTGAATAAATGAAAAATTATAAAAAAAAAATATAAAAAAAATTCATAAGTATTTTCAATTTTATTAATTCAATATTATTTTAATTTGTATTTGGAGAAATAGTGAACACTTCAAAATCATCGTCCGAAAGACAATACTCGTATAATTTAGGCGATTTCGATATTATTCTTGGCGTTGACATTTGTACTGATAATAATTCACCATGTGATGGAATAAATGATAATGATGAATTAGTTTTATTCGTAATGGAACAAATTCTTTCGATAGAATCATAAGATTCTGTAAACTCTTCACAAAGACTACATTTTAAATTATCTGATGTAGAAAATTTATTCGAAATGTTTTCAGTTGTTACGGAATGAAATGACAAAGAATGAGTTAAATTAAATCTACGATTTGGTGATATATAACATTCGTTAGACGAATGATTATCACGATTGATAGTTTCACTTTGAATCTCAAGAGTTTTCATCGATGCATTGCTACACGCAATATGAGTTGAGGCAGGAATCTCTTTCGACACGATATTTATTCTAGTTTCATATCGTCCCATTTCATCGAAATTTGTTCTAGAATGTATCGTTGTATCAGATACAATATCTGCCGAATGTTTACTCTTATCGTTTTCCCGTATATCAATTTTATTTTCATTTGTCATTTTTTCGTCTTCTTGTACGCTATCTTTGCCACCTTTTTGTTTCCAAAGTTTTACGAAATTTTGAATAAGCAAAGTCACTTCTTCCCAATTAAATTCATCATTTTCTAAAAGTTCGTACAAATTAATCAAAATGGCATAACATGTTTTTTCCCATGTATCCGATTTGGCTGTTTGAATTCGATCAATAATCTATCAAAAATAGACAAATATAACATAATAATGTTAATATCAATAATAATATGTTGTATAATATAAATAATAATATAATACGAATTAAGATAAGGATGATAAGATAAAAGATGATAATATATACACGTTATACTCACTATTTGTTCAGAAGCATATTTTCGTGCTTTCTCAGTAACTGTCTTTGGTAAACCGGACAATTCAGCTAAAGCGATACCATAATCGTCAGTAGGTGCTACACCAGATTTCAATCGATGAGTATAAGTTAATCGGTGATTATCCGTTTTTGATCCTTGAACATTTATCGTTTCAAAGTATTGACTAAAAAAGATGATTTGAAAAGAAGTATTCAATTATGAAAATTGGAGAAATATTTGTAAATAATATACAGAAGAATATAGATACTTCGTAACATTGAAGTATAAATCTCCCAATTTCGTTAAATTAGAAAAATGAGTCGCAGCAAAAATAAAAGCAGTTGTATTCAAAAGTTTTTCGCATATAGCCCACGCGATTGAAGCACCTTCTTCGATGGCAGTACCTTTGCATAATTCATCTAGAATAATCAGCGAAGTTGGTGTGATAGATCGCAAAATATATTGCGCTTCTTTCATCTAAAAGATAAGAAATTTACTTTTTTTAGTGCAATGACAAAAAAATAATATATATATATATATATTAGATAAAAAGAAATTACTTCTAGAGAAAATGTGGATGCATTGCATTCAATATCATCGCGAGTAACTATCTTGCAGAATACGAGGTTTGTTATACGAAACATTGCTTGCTTAGCCGGTACAAAGCAACCAAGTTGTGCCATTATATGCAGTAGAACAATTTGTTTAAGATAAGTCGACTTGCCACTCATATTGGGTCCAGAAATTACACATAGATTTTTAGGTATCGATGCATACTATGCGATAAATAAAAGTAGATGAGAAACATGAAAATAATTTATATAACGTTAGATATCGTAGAAAGATAAATTACAATATTGTTGGGTACGGGACTATCGAGACCGAAAACATCCATTATTGGATGTCTTGAATCAATTAATTCTAATTTTGATCCGAACAATGGTCTCACGTATGCCTGAAGAGAACTGATTTGAGCTAGGGATGTTATTAGATCCAGTTCTGCGATATCCGCATTCAATTGAAATAAACAGCCAATGTATTCTCTAATGCTTTGTAGCAAATCGCAAAGGAGTCTATTAATATACATACATAATTAATAATATAAATATTATTTTGAATTGAGAACAAAGATCCATCGTTCACGAGAATTAGATAAAAAAAAAAAGATTTGTAATGACACTTACACATTACTCATTAAATGCAATTCCTCGCATGCAATCTTACATTGTTGGCTCAATGTTGCAAGCGCATTTGTAGTCATGGTGTATGCTCGTTTACTCTTTCGTACCTACGGTATTACACGTATTGTTGAGAAAAATCGTTTGCATAATAATGTTATTCATAACTACCTCTATGAATTCGGATGGTGGATCAAAAATTTCAGCATTTGAATTTCGAGGTAATATCATTTGAATATGATAACCAAGATTAGCATTGCAGCTTAAAGACAGAGCAAGTTTATACTTGGATGATAAATTTTCCACCATAACTATCGAAAAGAAAGAAAGCAAAGATGAGTTTTTTCAATTGTCGTTATTTTATACTGTTTTTTTTTTTTTGATACTGACTTTTCATATCGTCGATTAACTCGCAATAAGTTTGTCGAGCGATATCTAACAGATCGTTAATTCCTGCTCTGATAGCGAAGCAACGTTGCATGTTCGAGGATGTGTATCCAGTCACAGATCTTGCGTCTGGATGTACCGTTTCAAGAATCCTTTCTCGCATTAATCGGAATTCGTCGATTTCCAATTTCTAAGGAATAAATAACAAACGATAAAAATATTAATAAATGGATCAGCGTAATGCTCGTGAACGTAGATTTGTGGAATGTTTGCAACGAACCTTCTGAATTTTGCAAAAGATATCGCTTTCACCGTTCGATAATATCTTTCCTAGTTCAGGTATAACATCCAATAAATTTTTCAACAACAAAACGTAATTTAAATTTTGCTCTGCGTTTTGCACATTATTTTCATGTAAAACAGGTGTTATCGATAAAAGTAAAAGTCTATCAGCGCCATAAAGCCGTCGTACGATAGGCTGGAATAGTGTTTTAGAATTAAAAAGTTTGGAAAAATATTCTTTCTGAAAAAAATATGTAATCGATAAAATCAATGTTTCAACCTGAATAAGTGCACGCAACGAACGATTGGATACAAGCTCGGCAACGGCGGCTTGTCGCTCGAGAATTACGCGTCCCTCGCACGGAGGTTGAAGTATGCTCGCGCGTAAAAGTTTTCTACCCATTGGCGTTGAACATCGATCCAAAGTGCCTAACAAACTAATATTTCGTTGACCACATTGCGACTGTACCAATTCCAAGCTTCTCGCGCTTTCCAAATCTATAATAAAAAATTTCCAATTTGGCATTTATTATTTTCCATCATATTCCTCGCAAACTCTTTTCATTCGTAATTATTACCTATATTGGTAGCGTTTGGTGAACCTTGAAATTCAATTTTCATAGATTTTGGCGTGTAAACAACACGTTGAGCATATTCGACATATTTTAATAGCGATGCAGCTGCAGCTAATGCATAATACCTGTAACCCATGTTTAAACATTTTTATACAAATCGTATATTTGTTATAATCATTTCATAATTATTATCAATGATATATATCATATTGCAAGATCGAATTATTAGTGATTCAAAGTAACTATATACTTTTGCTTAATGAATAGTTCAACCGACGAATATACGGGATTACAAAGAGATTTTATTCGTTCAAATCCGGCTGTGTCGTTGAAGTGTACACGAGATATCGCTGTTACTTCTATCTCGGAAAATTTGTCTATTATTAAACTATACAGGATGTTTCTATTCATGTTACGTTCGCACATCGTATCTGGCATCAAAACCTAAAATATTTAAAATAAAACAAGGCGTGTATTACCCTCGAAGAATCGAATAAAAATAATGTGGAAGAGATGTAATATATTGTATTAATAAAAATAGATATGCAAATATATCGTTCAAAAAAATATATCCAACTAATTTTAAATTCATTATATAGATTTCATCAGAAATGTTGTTGAAATCTGTACGATATAAAGAAATTATATTCACAGACTTACTTCTGTTGGATCGAACAAATACAACTTGCTTAACGTATCGATATAAGTCTGTGAATCGCTGATTTGACAAAGAATCAAATGTGAACAACGAACATTCAACGCTGCCATGCCAACTTCGAATCTCGCATCACCTCGGCCGGTTGTTAACGCTGTTCAATCGCGTTAAATTAATTAATTAATTTGAAAATTTTTCACAAGCATAGAGAAAAAAATAGAGAGGATAAAATTTACCGAGAATAGTGTTACCAGTAACAGATTCAAACAAACTCGAACCTGTAGCAGTTCTAACACCTGTAGTAGTTCTCGTTCCCGATCTAGAAATTATCGAGCATCGTATGCATTATTATTAAAATGCATTACTTGTGCATCTCTTGAATGATTTTTTTTGTCGTTCAACGCTTACTTGGAAATGCAATTGCGCGATGTACTGGCTAACAAAGATGACGATGTAGGGACAATCCGTTTTTTACGTACTACATTTTCAAATTTTCTATTTCTCGAGTAACTCGAAGCGATAGCCGATTCCCAATTTTTCTCCAACTTTTTTTCCATATCAAATTCAAATTCTGTTCAAAAGAAGAGGAACGAGTAAAGTAAAAGATATAAATTAAATGGAAGGATTTAAAAGAAAAAATGACGGATTTATCGTTGAATTTGAATCAATAAAATATTCAAAGAAAATAAAATTGGTTAAATTTATAATATATGATTATTACGCACGAAGTTTCATTAATCCAACATTTGATTCTTGGCACAATCGTTTTCTCAATGGCTTTAAACTTGTTTCCGTTCTTATTACATTCATACTATATTTCTGATTAATTCAAGAGTTAAATTTTCGAACACTTTTGAAAATGGAAGCCAAATGAAATACTTCTTGTACTATAGGATGTTTCAGCGCCATCTAGAAAGATGATGGTAGACGTAAGTATATACAGCAAATCAAGAATCAAAGAAAAAAATTTCATTCGAAATTTCATCTCACGTCAATGTGTAATGCTACACATTAGTCCCCATTTCTTGTTTAAAATCATTTACACCAAGAGATCTTTGAAAGCCAAGAAACCGTAAATCTTTCTCATTCGTTTCGAAATTGTTTATCGATAGAATAAAATGATATGTCATTCTCCATCATCCTTTCTCCTTCTAAAAAAGCATCTAGTGCTCTTCGTTCATTTTTCCATGTTTTTTCTCATCCCATTCGAACACGAGGACAAATCGAATAATATATTTGTTCTGGTATAATAAACATTCGATTCTCCAGCGATATGCTTATTTATATAAGATGATTTGTGTGTTATACACGTATCTTTTTGGGAAGTAAATATTTTTATCATTTAATATAAATATTTCCCTAAATGAAAAAGAAAAGGATTTAAGGATAAATAAAGGATTGACAACATTCAATTAAAATGTTTGATTGCTTTCTAAATAAGCAATATATAAGATTTATTTACAAATTCGATACCATGTATATCCATATTTAGTTCTTCAAATTTCAGGTATCTCTTTCAAATATTCAATAAATAATAGTATCACGATTGTTACGGATTTAAAATAAATATCGCTTAAAGTTTCATTCATTTGCATACATACTAAATATGTATTTACAAGTTTAAGAAAATCTTACAAGTCTAAGATTGTCAGGCTCGTAAGCTGCCTTACGTGATTCCATGATTTCTTATAGATTAATCGTGTTCAAGAATGAAATCACAATTGTTCAAGTAAAAGAAACATCATATTTATATGATGTTAAATGATTCGTTCGTCGATTATCGAACGTATCGATAAATCCAGTCTATTTTATATTCGTGTATATAATTGAAGGAACGAATAATATTCGTAATGGGGGGGGGGGGGGAAGGCAACGTAGATCGTGGATATCGTTGCTACTCTACAAATATGTTTAAAAATGCATAAACAAATGATAAATGTCAATCAATTTGATCGACATCACACAGCCGATATGTTTTTTAATTGAATATATAAAACTACGTGAAAAAACACTTTTGCATTATTAAGAAATACAAAATCTACGGGTTATAACGCTTTTTTTTTTTGTTGTTGTTGTTGTAGCGATATAAAGAGTGTACGTATGTGCATGTACGTATATAAATATACTTTACACGCACGCACACCACATACACACGCACACGCACTCGCATTTGCAGAACATTCAATAATTTGTATAATTTATATACGTATATTATATATACAAAAAAATTGCACACGATCACGTTTTTTTACAAGTACGATACGTAAATAATTGACACGCTGCGATATATAAATGCTTGGTGAAAAAGAAACACGTTGGTGCTTTAACGAATTTAAATTCATTGATTAATATTTTCTTTTTCTCTTTTCTCTATCTTCGCAGTTTTGTTTCCTTGTTTCCTTTTCAATGCAATACTTTACATAATATTATACGTGACTCTCGAGAGGTACTTTAAACACTTTGGAAGCTAAACTAGTATCCGGTAAGGATTGTGGACGAGCATTAGTCACGTTAAAAACGACATTACTTGGGCCGCGAAAGCTAACTTCTATAAGAAAACTAGCATCGGTGAGGCCAATACGACCGGTACTTAAATCCGGTGAACTTGTTCTGAGTTGACTTTTCTTCGGTCTATATTCATTTTTAACCACTCTCTCAGCCTCGACTTGTAATTTATTATCCAACCAATGCACTTTATCAAAGTCCTTCGTACCACCTACAGTGTGCCTACGTTTGATCGACCGTTCAGGCATACCATTTTTTCGCTTTAATTTTGTTGCGCTATCTTTTCTAACAGATTGTCGCCTCTTGCTAATATTACATTCAGTTTTCTCAGTTTTTGTCAACGATTCTGACCGTTTTAATTTACTGTTCGGTGAATCAGATCTCTCCGAATGTTTGTTCAAACTTTCAGATCGCTTCAACTTGCCATTGGTCGGGGATGAGAGCCTCTCGACAGAATGTTTGTTCAAACTTTCGGATCTTTTCAACTTGGACGAAGTATTTTCCGATCTCTTATTCAAAGATTCCGATCTTTTTAATCGTGATCTCACTTCAAATTTTGTTAAACTTTCAAATTTTTCAAGCTTATTCGAATAATTTGAATCGACATCGCGCCGATTCAAATCTTTCGCATCATCAGCTACTTTGTCGCTTTGTGATAAATTTACCGACGCTTCTTTCTCAATTCTACGGTATTCTTGCGCTTCATTCGTATCCGGAGATGATTCATAAACCGTTCCTTGCTCGATTCAATCTTTTTTCGCGCGATAGCGCTTCGATCGTTGTCCGGTATGGCGTCGTCGTCCAATCGATCGACGCTACTATTCTCCGTCACCGATGAATCCGTATCCTTTTCTGGAGCATCCTGCACGAATGAAACAAACAATAATACGAATGAATGAAACGATCAAGCTAAATTGATCGAATGCACGTGTCTACGCGACATGGATGAAAAAAAGGTTACGCTGTATTTCACTAATTTCAATAATTCGCTTCGACTTTGTTTGGATACTTGCATTTTTTTGTCGATCATATTGATGCTTATCAATACACATTTTATGGAGACTCGGATCTCGATAACTTTCAATCGAGAAAGAAGATTGAGGGATGGCCGTTTTATCCTGATCTTTCTCTTCTCGTAGTTCTCCTCCTCCTCCTCCTCCTCCTCCTCCTCGTTGATTTCGCAAGTTTTGTGAATCTCGCTGTGTTATCACAGCATCCTCGTCGCTCAGGGACAAATTTTCCATCGTGGTTCCGCGAATCGTTTGATTCGACGAGTTTACCAGGGATCTCCATTTACGATCGAACGTAGTTGTCAAACTGGTCAAGAGATCACTACCTGTAATTAAATCAATTTGTTTTAATAGAAAGAACAGTTCGTCTTAACTTATTATTATGGTGCCTGTGTATTAATCGAAAGCGAATGACTCAACGAGAAACACACACAAAGCATCGAATAGTGATCGATCGTTCTCGAACTACTAAAATAAGGTTATGGTTGCGTTCGCGCAACAGAAAAACGAGCATCAATCATATAACGAGCTTGAATCGTTCGTTAGAAAGGCTTCGTTAGATGGATGAAAAAACAATGGTGACTGCAATATTCTGACAATATTTCCATATATTACACTGCTATTGTTGAACTGTTTATTGCAACAAGCCAAGTTGCAATATTCATTTAAACCCTTTACTTTTATTATATTCATTTGATAATCGATTCCTCTTCCATACCTATATATATTATATGGTACATTCAAATTCAACGAAACCACATAATAATCTTTAATCGATTGGCAAATCTCGATCGAAGCGAAGAGCAGACACAAAGGAAAAGATACGTAGAGAAAAACGCAGGATAAAAAACGCAGGGAAAAAAGAGAGGGCGACGAACGAAAAACGAAGACAAATGTAAAAAAAAAAAAAAGAATGAAAAATATAAAGAATACGAAATATGAAAATTATTTTAATCGTAGCCATTCTTCCTGCTCCACAAATACTTGAGGAGACGAGTAAGAAGATTTTAAATCTTTGAAAAAAATATATATATATATATAACGTATAATAATTGATATTAATTTTTTTTTTCCACCGCGTTACGTTACATATAATAATAAATGGAATATCTGAAATTTGAAAAAAAGGAAAGAACACGTGAAAAAAAAAAGAGAGAAAATAAAAAGAGGGAAAATAAAAAGAGGGAAAATAAAAACGAAAGATCAAAAAGAAAAAATATTCCTAAGACGAGTGATTTTGATCGATATGAAATAATTCAGCAGCGAAAGAGAGAAAAAAAAAAAAAAAAAAGAAAAACGGATACTTAGATAAATAGATAGGCAAATAGCAAACAAACAGGCACGCAAGTAAGCAGATAGATAAGGCAAATAGTAGACAGATAAATAAATGGAACAACAAGTGAACGGATATGTGGGTAAGCAGGCAGGCATTTTCCGCGTTAATCAGCCGATTAAATGACGGATACGTCGAATGAAAGAATCGAGTGAAAGTGAGAGAAACAGTAGATAAGATAATGAGGAAAAGAATGAAAGGTGAAAAGTGTCGTTGTTAACGTGCGTTGAGCGGAAATGAAGAGTGTAAAGCCATTCGTATAGCCAACCATAGTCGAGCAATTTGCGACTTTGACTTTATTCTCGTTGGCAAACGAAGTAATTTACCTCGAAGAAATCTGTTTAAAGTCTTGGAAGACAATCCGGCCCCTGAGCCCGAAGACACCCCTCGCGGTGGTGACTGCTCGACGGGCTCGATAGGCTCCGAGAATTCGGAGGGCTCCGAGGCCGGTACTCTCGAAGAGGATGCGATGGGTGTCGATGATCGTTGCACGACGTCGATGTCGTCTGCGTCTGACACTGACCCTGGTACTTGCATTCGCCCTGGCATCGACATTGGCATTGGTATCGACATCGGCATTGATATTGGCATTGACAGTGGTATTGACATCGGCATCGACATCGGCATTGGCGATGGGCCCGCTGTCTTCGAGGCGGGGCCAGAGGGGCTTGCGGTACCGTGTAGGTGAGATGATATGTACCACCAGAAACCGGGATTTGCCGTTTGCCTAAGAGTGTTCAACGCATTCGCATCGTCACTAATCGACACCCCATCGAGAAACATGTATTAAACAGCTTCTGGCAGTGACAAACGAGCAAACGATCCAACAAGTACAAGCGGATCTGCCTCTGCCCCTCTTCGATCTTTACACCTTCTCGGCTTCCTTTCATCCATATATCGATGATGTTATTTCACGTGCCACTACACCTTATTTATTTCCTCACGATTTCTACTCTTTATCGACATCCCCACTCTTTATTTAAACGAGACACGCGTTTTACGAACAACACCGTCCTTTCGGAATGCGAGAAAAGAAAGGTTAGAAAGGAAAGATGCGGGAAACGGTTAAAAAAAAAAGATATTTCACGTATATAAGATTATGAACATTCGGTTACAAATATTGTAATAACGTATCGTATGATGGATAATACACCGAGATTTTAGGTGAGATTGGTTTGAAGAACGAGCAGGAGGCAGTTTCAACGTCAAAAAACTAAACAAAGCGAGCGGTTAAGCACGCAAGCGTATACCGCTTGCAACGAAAATAATTGTGGTTATCCAATGAATAGCTTCGTTTTTCTTTTCACTTTTTATAATCTATACTCGTCGCCTTTATGGTAACATGCAAGTGCGAGGAAAAAAATTTTCTAACGAAAATAATCGAACAAATTATTTCAAAATAATCGAACCTATCGACAACAAAGAAGAAAGACAAAAAAGAAAGAGGGAGAGAGAAAAAAGGAAATACGATACGAAGTATGCACATTGAAACTTTTTTTGAATGATATGATTATCCAATGATTGATTGACCAATTTCAAGCTCGATTTTTCAAAGCTCGATAATTCACCAAGAATACATGAGATTAAACGCATGCACGAAATATAAAAAGAAGATCGCTTTGGATTTGGTATGATTTAGAATATTGTGAATAAACGAAATAGATAGAAGGGAATCACTCTCATAATAACGTGCTTAATACAAATGTGTAATGTAAAATGCAGTGTATTATCGTACGCTTCAAAAATGTTTTTGAATCACAATCGATTTCTCGGCGAAAATAACGTCAAAACGGAAGAAGAACAACGATGATACAAAGAAATAAAAAAGGAACAAGAAAGGAAAGAAAAAAAGAAAGAAAGAAAGAAGAAAAACCGATAAGATTAATTTAAACAAAATAATCATATGCGTCTATCGTGCAATGTCTATCGGACAGTTGCTTATTTTTAAGATTATCCAAAAAATAGTAAAAGACAAATAAAGAATACCTAGAAAGCTTTTTGTTAATGGTCAGAATCTTCTGAGTCCATTGTAGAAAACAAGATCCAGCTACACTCACCGAGAGCGTCAGAAGCAACGTTACGTAGAGAAAAATATAAAGAGAATAAATACGTACATAGGATGGGACTATAAGTTTCATGATAATTCTGTATCGAAACAGTCGTTGAAATTGAAATTGCATGTGTCGCATATTCCACATTTTTCGATAATTAACAATATATTCACCAATATCAACAAAAGACAAGTTTCGGTTCAAGTGTAGTTTCGAATCGGTTTCGAAAGAATAAAACAAGGATATTGATTCGACTGAGATATTAAAGAAAAATATAATTCTTGTATTTAATACTAACCATCGTCCGAGACATCGCTTGAAAGCGGTTTCCGTTGCTGATTGGTCGGCGAAAGTGACGATTGAGAAATTTCGTGCGTTTCGTGCAGAGAGTCTAAGCTACCGTAACGAATAGACGATAGCGTTGAACCTTCCAATATTTGCTACAAAATATTTAAAAAATTAGAAAATACGTTACGAATAAAAAACAAAAGGTATTTACGAATGATTCGAGGTATGTGAAAATCCGAATTAGTCGATTAAAAATTAAAACAATAGTTTTGAAATTCTCTTGAATTTCAATAATCTCGAATTACGAAAGCGAATTGATCACGAGACGATTTTCAATTTGCTTCGACAATTTCGGCTTTTCGCATGCCTTTACGAATCATGTTTCGTTTTTCGCTATAGCCACGATAAGACGTTAACAATAACGTGTAAACTTACTTCGGTGTCTGTTTTCAATTTTTTTATAGTACTATCAGAAATGTTATCTTGAGGTAAAATCGTAGTAGATTCGTTTGCGAGTAGCGATACCCGTCTAACGGATGTAGGTTGTTGTTGTACAGCTATCGAAAGATGTGGCACTCGACCGGTCGATCGAGAGCCGATATCGAGATAAGATTTATCGTTAAAATTGGAAAGTCTTGTCGCGGATGAAAGATAAGTAGTAGGTGTCGTTACAGTAGTGTCAACTATACTATCGAGCAAATCATCGTTTTCCATTTCACTTTTAGCCAATTGCCATTCCGTCTCGATTCTCCGCCTTTCTTCTTCTCTCCTTTCAGCTTCTCGTCTCTGTCGATTTTGATCTCTCTGCAACATTGCTTTTGTTTCCTGTTCGAATCTTCGTATACGTTCTTGAGTAGTTGCGCTCAAACCAGCGTATGTTCTTATCGTGATCTCGTCGTTGCTTTGCTTGGTATCATTCGAGGCACTAGAAAGTGTCGAACTTGCGTCGAAGCAGCTCAGGCCAGTCTCGCTAGAGAGTCGGGACGACTCCGAAGTCGACGAGACGGTCGAGCGATGAATCGGTGATTGCATCGATGGAACCGACTCTATTGCACGATTTAAATACTTATTTGACTTTTCGGAAGGAATGACATTATCGTGATTATTTAACATATCACGGTTGGTAATGGCGCAATCAGCTATTATATCGTCGGTGCTAGCATGTGCAATACCATCGAGCGTCGATGATCGGTCATCGGATCGATCAGTGGAACGATCGATGGAACGATTCGATTGATTTTGATTTTCGTGCATTAAAACGATTTCACTGACCGAACATTGCCTCTCGTTCAATGCCATACTTCGTCGATTTTGTAGATTTTCCGTATCTTGCTTCATCCTTGGCTTTATATGAAAACGAAAACAATTGTAACATTTAGCCAATGCATTATTACTTTAAACGAGATCGATTAAATATAAATTGTCTATACAATATCGTAATATAAATATATTATATCTCTCGAATCGAAACGAACCTTATCAATTTCGTGAGTTTCATTATCCGTCTCATCTTGACATTTTCTTCTTCTTTGTATTTTTCGATTAGCAGCGGATATGATGGATGACACGATGTCTTTGGCAGATGCCATTTCGCGTACTCCTATTTCATTTAAATCAAAAGGAAATTCAATTATTTCAATTTGAAATAATAATAATGGACAATATAACGAAAGTGAAATAACGAAACACGTTTACCTTCGACTTTTTGAATATTGTTCAACAAGAGATTATGATTATTACTGGAAGTTGTGGTCTCAATCTCACTAGTGTCTGCTGGAAGACTAAGATTAACGCTCAATCTACTCAAATCATCCAAATCATCGTCCGAAAAGAACCAATCAACCTGAAATAAATTAATCATTTATTTAAACATTTCTTGTTTTCGCAAACAATCATTTTTATTTGAGCAAAGTGATTAAATTGCATCTATATACATTGTTTAATAAACTCTCGACGATCCGACATTGATGCGACATATCAGTAACCATAGTAACCATATTGTCCCGGGAACCACTTGCTCTAACCAAAGTAGGGCCGAATACAATAGCTAAATTCTTTGCTTCCATTTTATTAACCTCACTATGTTCAACTATTCTTTTCAAATGAAACATTAAATATTTAAGAGTTTCGAAATGATGTTCTGGAAGATCTCTGAGCAACTTTCTTATAGTTGTCATTCTCCTCTGGGGATCTTCGACTTTATCAGCATCGATAAACATGGGATACAATTCCGCAGTAAGCAACGAATCCGGCAGTTGCCGAAAAAAGGATTTAAGAAGAGAAGATATTACATTTACGTCGCTCCATCTAGGATCCTAAAAAAAAAAAAAAAAAAACAAGTAATAATGAAAAAAATAAATAATGGAATAAATTATACATTAAATAATAAATGCATAATACACATATATAATAATATATATAATACATTATTTTACCTGCAGATTAATATTTTCGAAACCTTTGTTCACGCTATCTGTTAAATGTGAAATAGCAGCGGTATTACCGGGTACTCTGTAAATGCCAACCACTTCAAGACCTCTCGCTTCGACAATACTGGTACACATTTCGACGATCAATGGTACATATTCCGAGAAAGATGACTGTGACCACGAATAAAAAAAAAATTGTTTAATCATTTAAAACATACGAAAGTTTTCGTTGGAATAAAATTAAAAAAGTATATATAATTACCGGTGGACAGAGCTCGAGTGGTACTTTAAAAGTAGCACCCTCCGGTGGTAGTTGCGTGGTTGGTGATGAAGGAGATGCTGTTTGACCGTGCATTTTTCGTAATTGTTTTGCGACTCTACCTTTCCATGTCTTGGTTTTTGGAGAAACTAAATTATCGATCGTTTGACTCGGTTTTCGAGTCTTATTTATCGGCGATTGTCCGGTCGGTGATCTGTTCCTAAAGGAAGTTAATTTCTTGATACCTTTGTGTCCTGGAAGAGGACTTAAACGTTGACCAGCGCTACCACCACTAGCCGATACCGTCATCGCTACAGAATTCATTTGACACGGTGAAGAACTATTCGTAGGTCCTGGTGTTTGTGGGACAGCTTGTTGCTTCAAAGTGCTATTTTGAGCAATTTCCTAAATAAAAATTAAATGAAATTAAATTGTAATTATTAGTTAATGTTATAAATTTTTAAAAATTTTTAAAAATTGCAAGCTTAAACTCTTACAGATGGTTTTTCAGCGGCAGCATGCTCGTGTAACGCTCGTAACCAAAGTGCCATGGATGCTGCATCTTCGGTCTGTAGTAAAACTTCTGCGTTTGGATTGGCCAATCGTAACACGTGTTTACGTTTCGTATAATCCTCTGCGATATCAACAAGGGAACATCTTACGTCCACGCTTTGAGCTACATTTTCACCGTCGCAGGCCAACGAAGGACTCTTAAATACATTCGGAAGTTATAAACGTGTAATAAAAATATAAGTCAATTAAATACATCATACATTAAAATGTATACGACATTTTAGAATACCTGATTTTGACGATCCTTGTAAAAGAAGAGAATAGGTCCACGAAGAATACCCCACAACTGTTTCCATGAACGATCGGAAGATCGCTGAAATTCGATAAATTGTACGAAATAATAATTTTAAACGTAAATGATCGAGAAACGTCATTATCACATGCAATTATACAATATCGATATTGAATATGAAATATAACTTTTTTTACCTTCCATCCAGTACGGTAAATTTTACGTGCAAAGGTCCTTCTCGTTCCATTTGACCAACATCTTTTACGATATCGGTGACAGTTGGTTCCCGAGTGGTACAAACAGTATTGCCGCTGAAAAAGTCAAATATACTTTTTAGGAAAATTCTTTACTTAATAATTATTTTTTAATGAAAACGCGTTTCTAACTTTTTCTCTAAGCTAATCGATAGAGCGAAGGAACGGACAACGCGTTTCGACTAATCAACGATTTATTTTTTTTTTTTTTTTCTATTACCACTTCCAATTACCGAGCTTGCTACTTCGAAGCAACAATACACCTATCTACCTGATGAATATAAAGAAAAATCTTTAAAACGAAAAAATTAATTATAGGAAAGAATTAACACACGGTTCTACAAACACGAACGATTAGTTATTAGTGATTACTGATGTTAAAAACGAAGCAGATAAATCGAGGGATGGAATTATTAATATGTTTCGATCAATTCAGAAACGTTGGAATGCGACGAGCATATGGTAAAAAACGAGATGAAAGGCAAAGAATTATTGGGAAAACAAGAATGCATCTTTATGCTTTTCTCAACATGTACTATCCTCACCGATTAATATTTTTGTTTAAACTTGCAGATTGAGTCACTTCCTCGAAGATGCGACGAAGCGGTGCTATATCGTTTGGAAGTAACGGTAGTCGCCATCTCTTATGAATGCTGAAAATATGGACGGAGGCAGAACTTGATGTATACTCGCGACTGATCTACTACGATAATACTATGACAGGCAAGTAGTAGTCCACACTCCAAACAGCATAGGAAAGTTACATATTCGTACGTGACAGAAAATGCGCAATATACCGTGGATAGACCTAAAAGCTTCGTTCTATAGCGACACTGATCTCGACACTGCTTACCTTCTAGAGGTATGAATAACAGGCTCGGAATCGCTTAATTCTAAATCACTGTCAACATGGATTCGTTCACCCCAAGTTGCTTTTAAGTAAGACACTCTTCTCGTGGCACGATCTTCGTCCGCTATAAAATATAAATATAATAATTATTTTAATAAAGAATTCATTCGATGAATATTATTCAATATTTTATATGCTTACCGATTTGCGTATTCTTTTGTCGCCTGAATACAACTTGGCTATTGTGCGTATCATTATCCGATGGTAACATACCTTCATAAGATACAAAGAATCTTTTAATTAATTAATAAATTAACGATATTCGCGATAATATAACATTTAAAACAGAACGATTTAATCGTATGGAAATTATAAAGGCAAAATAATAAAGCAGAGATAGATTAGATAGATTAACGTAGAAAAACTAACCATGTTCAGTTTTAATGATTTGAGTGTAACTATCTTGTTGTTGACTTCTAGATCCTTTTTTCTCGACAATTATCGCATTTTCGTCGCTACTTCTTGTTGTTGTATCCACATAAACGCTATCATCATTTCCATTTATATTACACTTTCGTTCACTGTCGTCCTGTCTTCGTGACCAATGATGCCTAGCAGTTTCTAACATGTTATTTGCACTCGTCGATTCCCATGATTCTGCGCTATTACTACGAATTCTTGATTGTACGTGTTCCCCATCTATCCTTGGATTCGATGTTTCTGAAAATGTTACAATTAAAATTGACAAAACATTAGAATATTTTTGAAATTGAATCGATAATTGTAATATTAGTATTATATGTTTCAACGCTGTAACATATTGAATTTAAAAGATATCATATCGTATATCCAAGTATAATAATAAGTGAATCTCGTGCAAGGTAACGGCACAACATTAAAATCTGTGCGATATACAAATAGAACAGCACAAAAAAAAAAAAATAAAGATGGATAGAATAAGTAAGTGTAAAAATAAAATTTGAGACAAAAGTGAGACCAAATGATCGATGAATTTAGGTTAGAAAGGGAAAAAGGAAAAGAGGGGAGATGTGCAGAAAGAGCAAGAGTGAGTGAAAGCGAGCGAGCGAGAAAGAGAGAGAGAGAGAGAGACCGCAACACAACAATTCATCTCTCTCTTCTACCTTCTAAAGTATTATAGTTGATCGGCGGTTCACAATGGATCTGTTTGCTGCCTATGGGAATTACTCTGTTTCCTTTTAATCCGCTACCTAAATATTCATAGTAGCACATTAAGAATGGAATAATAATAATAATAAAGATGCGTAATAAGAGAGATATATAATTAACCTATTATATGATAAAAAGGAAAAAGAAAAAAAAAAAATAATATAAATAGATAAGTGTTTGAGAAGAACTCACCACTGTCTAAAGATTTAGTTTCCCTTGTTGATACAGGTGGTAATCTCCTTGGTTCTTGAGCTTCGGCTTTCGATTCGAATTCTCTTTTTCGAACAGCAACATTTGGTACGCTACGTTTGTTCGACAATCTTGAAAGTTCACTTCGATAAAGATTGGTACGATCACCAGTCGGTTCATCGTCGTCGCTCAAAAGTCGTCCTGATTCGAATTGTTTGGCTCGTTTCGATACGATTTGAAGTCCTTGCGGAAGTACAGGGAATTTATCATTCATCTTTTTCTCAGGCCCAGGGGACGAAGGTAAAGAAGAAGCACCATTTCTCGCATCTATCGATTGTCGTTCACCGGAAAGTAAAGCACCCACGCTCGCTATATTTTCGTGTATTCTGGACAAAGTTCCGACAAAATTGCTCGATTTGCCTATATTTCGTTGTAACTGTTGCTGATGTTTATCAGATTCTTTTACAGAATCTCGATTATCGTCACAGCTGACGGACGGAGTACTTAAACGATCACACACAGGTGTTACAATTTGCTGATGTATATACTCCAGAGGATGAGTTGTGCTACAAGTTTCTTCGATTTGCTCATTTCGGGAAGTATATAAATAATCAATTTCTTCTGCCCCATCGTTGCCACTGCTCTTCATTCTTTGAACGTTCTGATTAGACGAGGATTTATCGGAGACAAGTTTTCCAGGTAAAGTTCTGTTACTATTTTGACCACTTTTCAATATCGACAATTGTTGGTCTTGCTTCGAATCGGTCGGTGGCCAAACTTGCTTCTGAAATTTTTGCGGTCTCGCGTAGAATTCTCTTGGAATAACAGTTCCGTTGTTATTGTTTCGTACAGGAGATTCCGATCTCTCTTCAGGTAGAAACCAGCCGATCGGTTGACTTGGCCGTCGTAAGAATTCTTCTTTCTGCTCGAAACTTTTTCGAAGCCTTGTCATAATAATTGAATCATCGATATTCGTATTTATTCCGCCAGTTGAGCTCGCCGTTCCATTATTCGTTCTGTGACCACTCAAATTTCCGTTTCTTCCATTTTCGTTCCTACTTTCATTCGCTTCGTTCCCGACTAGAGTAGAATTGGATTCGTAAGAAGAGGGTGGATCGTTGACGTGGATCGAAGAGGAATCCCTCCTGGAATCGATACCGAATCTCGCAGAACGTGGCTCGCAGGATCTAAGTGCATCCGTGCTAGGATAGCTTGCCGTTTCAAAATTATTGATCATCGAGCCGCTAGCACTACCTTCACTGGCACGCCGCGAACTGATTCTTTTTGAGGCAGGCCGATAAATAGGTACTTGCGGTTCCGCTCGGGATAAAGGAACTCGTGTCAAACTCGAATGTTGATGAGATTGTTGTTGTACTTGTTGCTTCTGTTGTTGTTGTTGTTGTTGCGATGATTCTTGTTGATAATGATGATGATGAGGAGGAGGAGGAGGGGGAGGGTGAGGATGATAGAGATGATGCTGATGATGATGATGATGATGATGATGATGAAGAGAACGATGATCGATACTCGTCCTTAACGATTCCCCGAATCGAACAGGTTCGTATATCGGATCTTTGATTCGATCGTAAATCTGATCGCTATTTGTTCTCGAATAGATAGATTCGGAACGCGTTCTGTCGAAATGATCGTTATATTTATCGTTATATTTCATATCGGATTGCATCGATCTATCATACGATTGCATCACGGTTAAATCCGATGTATCTTTTCCTAATTGTTGCGGCTGATTACGTAATTTCACTTTGTTGTCTTCCACCGACTCGTAACGACTAATTATCTCTTGAGAAGGTTTAGAACGATAAATCACATTTTTGGCCATTGATTGCGTTTTATCATTGCTTTCCGACGTTTGTTGAATTTCTTCGGAAAAATCTTGATCCCGGCTGGAAACGCCATCGTCGATCATCAATGGCCGGGCCAGTTCTTGATCCTGATGACATAACGGCGCGGGCATCGAACTTGGCGCTGAACAAACCCAAGACTGCCTCGTCCTTGGCGACAAACCAGGGATCATACTGACCGATCTACGTTGCCTATGTCCACTTCTTTCCGGAGAACGTAACCGCGGCCGTTGATTCGTCTCAGGATTATGAGCCGTTTCGCCGAAATATCGTTGCAAAATATCGTCCTCCTTGGAAACCACGAGAAGTCGTAGCCAAGGCCCTGCCTGTTGAATACGTTGAACTACTTTCGCATATTGTTCACCGCGTGTCGGCCTTCCGTCAACAGAAACGACCCGATCTCCCGTACGTAAACCTGCCTCGGCTGCTGGAGAATTTTCGCGTACTTGTTTCACAAATATCGTATCCATCGGCTCCTCTATTTTCGTTCGTTCATGACCTGGTAGCATCTAATGGAAATCAATTTTTTTCTTTTTGTCCAACAAAAGTATATCAAATTAATGAAATAAAATTCCTTGAAACGAATTTCTCCATACTCACGCAACAAGATTCTGGCGGATAAACGATAAAATGACGAAGAGTAAAGCCAAAACCATTTTCTCCACGCCGCAATAACAATGTTCTTGGACCTCGAGTTGGCGGCGAGTTATCTTGAATCGATGAATTATCTTTCGCTGCCGCTGTAACACCGGCGACGATCCCGACATTTGGTCCTGTTGAAAGTGCAGTCGACGCTGCAGGTGGAGACGAACCATGTTCTATCTAAAAGAATTTTCTTCATTATTCTTTTCCAATTCTTATTTTCTATTTTTTTTTTTTTTTTTTTTTTTTAATATGATCAGGAAAAAAAAATGAAACATAATATCAAGGAGAAAGGAATATAATATCGCTAATATTAAATTTTTTGTAACAATTTGTAACAATTAGAGAAAGAAATAGCGAGAATACGAAGATTAGCGATGGATTTATATTTATAACAATTGCAACAAAACTACGAAAAATTCGAGAGACAGAGAGAGAGAGAGAGAGAGAGAGATGCGAGAAAAAAAAAAGAAAATAGAAATTTAAAAAAATAATACGTTCATAAATAGCAATGAATGAACTTAATTGAATGAATTTAAAATGCTAAAATATATGTATACATATATGTATTATTGAAAATGCTACGAATCGGTAAGTAAACGCATGGAATTAAAAATCTTCGTATTTAGCTTTCGAAAAGCACTCAGCGATCCAATCTTTTCAGTTTCTTCCCTTTCTACTACGTCTCGAAAATGCGTTTCCCAGATTCGTTCACTAAAATAAACCGAATCAAAGTTTGGCACGATCGTTTGGTTTTACGTACCGTGTGCGCCTGCCCAACCAACCCTTGAGAATTATTTCGGTCCTCAGCCATTGTGCTGTTTCCTGAAACATTGGAAATTAATATTACGAAAGTATCTTAAGAAGAAATAAGAATATAATAGCCACGAATTAATATTAAATCCGATTCGTTTAATATCTCGTATCTAATTTCGTATACACAATAAATGTAAAGCGAAAAATTTTATTTCACAAAATTTCTATTTACATATTTAAAATATTTAAAAAGTTAATATCGAATATGTTTCTCAATCTTACGTGTAATATACATTAAATTTATTATACGTGTATATATATATATATATATATA